CAGAAAAGCCATCCCTAGCCTCCACTCCTTACTCTCCATTTCAAAACTGACACTACTTTTCATGTTGCTGCACAATGAACCAAGAACATCCAGGTTAAAACAAACGTTGCTTTTTGGCCAGGCAAGATTTTCATGTGGATGCATCCCTTTATCCACTTCACTTTGCACACACACGCATGGTTGTACCAACAAGAGTACAACCAGGACTGCCCTCTGCCTGTCAAACATTAGGCAGAGTTATTTCAGTACATATGAACCTGTACAAGAAGTTTAATATACAGCTGAAGGGGGAAAAAATGCAATAGAGTAACACTGACATCTACTGAAATGTCATTTGAAGAACAAATGCTTTTGTGTGGCTAGACCTTTATAAAGGTAAGGTAAATGTAAAACTTTGGAATATAATTTACAGATCTTCATACATATACAATATATGTACTATGAAACATCACCATTATTTCAGTGTAACTACATTTTCACTTCAGAACCATCAAATCCACTAAGCACATGCCTTTGTGGAACAGGCAGCACCACAGCTGCAGAACACAGATAAAAATGTTTTATTATTTTCTATGCAAATACAATTTTTCTCCATTTATTTAAAATTGGATTTCTGTCTTATCCACTCAACCCATAGAAAAAAAGAAAGGTTTACAAAGAAGAAACAACTTTATAAAACTGAATTGGAAGTCAATTATGTAATCCTCAAAGGTAGGGAAAAATTCTATAGGTTTAAAAAAAGCGATTTATCCACACAACACAAGAGAAGGAATTTGATTTCTATTTATTGAGGAGTTTCATGAACTGCCAAAGTAACAATCTGTTCCAGTAGTTCAAGTCATAAGATCAATTTCCACCTAATGAGAAAACATCATCTATTGTCTCCAAACTTAATCTTCTCCTTCAGGTTCACAGGAGAAAAAAACAGAAGTATCGATCTGTTGAATATAAATGTTCTGGTCCTGCTTTTCATACAGTGTAATCAAAGCATTCAAATAAAGTATTTGCTGTCATTTATTCTGTATTTATTTGATATCTGAGCATTTGACTTGAGAATTATTACTGAGGCAATTCTTCAGCCACCACAATACAAACCAAACATTGCTATTAACACACATCCAATAGCAATTTCATATGATAATGAATTTGAGATTATGAAAAATATTGGACTTGATGATCCTTGCAGGTCCCTTCCAATCCTATAACGTTTAGAAGAGTGAATATATCTGAATATACTTTCAAAAAAACTCCCAACACTGGAAGTTTCACAAAATAGCAAATCATCTGCCTCAGAGGAAAGTAATGAGGATGTTACTATACATATATTAAACCCCGATACATAAAAAGATAAAGTGTTTTTTCAAGAATGGCTTACTACTATGAGAGCATCACCTGAAAGGGTCTCGAGATAAAACAGCATGATAGCAAGCTGATAGGACTCAGCCTCCCCCACGAAAGCAGCAAATACTGACATGCACATGGTGATGCACTTCTTGAAGTGCCACCTGGTTACTATTATTCAGTCCCATCACTATTTCATTCAGGAGAGTGGATCATCTAAAGATGATGGGGCCTTGGAGAACCTACAGGTCAAGAGCGAGCAGGCAAACCAGAAGGGCCGCACTACTTGACAGCACCCTTCAACCATCTGACTTCAGAACCCAAAATCAAGATCAAACAGACTGGTACCAGAAAAGTTAAGAATTGATGCCGAAGCCTTACTGGAAGCACATAGCCATCAGCTGCAGAATGGCTTTGGACTGTAGAGATAATCACATTCTCCACATCACCTGCTACCCATTCTTTAAGACAAATAAAAGGAGTGTAAATGCTGCAGAGAAAAAAAAAAATACAAAGTAAAAGGAAAGAATTTGGGTTCTTGGGGACATGCGTGAAGAAACATCAACCCACAATCAAAGAATGAATGGTGCGAGGGGTGGAGATGCAGTTCTGGGTAAGAGAAGTAAGACAAGCAGCCAGGATGCCCAGGGAGCTGCATTCACTATTGCCCACAGGGACATTTTCCCACAGTAAGTATCAGTGGAGCACAAGAGGCGCCATCTTTTAGCAAATGGTTGGACCGTATATATTCAGTATATTCAGACCACAGGCCTGAGTACAAATGAAGGAAGGAAAAAAAAAATGCATGGCCTGTCACTAATTTTTCTTCTGTTAGTGTTGATATCACTTGTCTTAAAGAATTGACTTGTCTTTATAATTATATACGGCCCTCAAAAGTTTACCAACTGCAATCCTATTCCCCCTTTCCCTCCTTTTTAACAGATTAAATAAGCTATATTGCATCGCTCTAATCATTTTAATGATTCTCCTCTGTGCAATTTCTATTCATAAACGTGTAAAAATAAAAATGAAGTATAGTACTAATATATTCCTACATTTAACTGTAGACTGTAGCTGATGATCCTATTAGTGCACTTGATGCTTCACAGCCTAAGTTTTATATTCAATATAATTTAATGTATCAGTTTATATTCTAGTTGATAGACAAGCAAGTTTTCTCCTATGTCACCTACTTCAATCCCACAAGCTAAAAAGTCTTCATATTCCCAATCCCCAAATGTGTGCATTTACAACCTATACTGAAGCAATTTGGTCCCACACACTCCTCTTTTTTACAGGATATTCTGTTCCTCCTTCCCATCGAGAGCAACTTCCACCTTCATATGACCAGATTTCATTGTGTTATGACTGATAAAAACTACGTAACAAAGGGAACAGATCTGAAGTACTACTTATGTCCCTCCATCCCAACTTGCTTTCTTAGCACTCCCACTGACATTTCAAATTAAGCAGCTCCATTGCTCTTACTACTCCCTTATGCATTTCCTAACTTCTCCAGTTTCAACTGTTTCCTACCATCAAATGCTGAGGTTCAGGTAAATGTGTTGCATTTTCCTGTCAGTTACAAATTATTTTAATATGAACTACATTGACAGATGCCCACTCCATCAGTTTCACTATTCAGTCATGCTATACATTTAATAATTCCTTTCTTCAAACTACAGTTTAGAGATTTAGACACCAGAAAAGAAGCTAACACACATTAAGCTGCCAGTGCCATTAAGTTCAGCTTCTTAAAGAAGTTAAAGAACACTACTGGAGAATATTTTATTAATAAAACACCCCCAATAAAAAAAGAAAAGAAAATGAATGCTATTATTCTTAATTATTTGCTTTCATTGTCATGGCATCATTCTGTCTGTGCATGACAAATGCCTAACTGAAGATACAGCACCCATCTTTCACAGTGTATGCTATATAATAAAGACCTTAACTTCTCCTAAAAACAATTGTTCTATCCCAAAGAGGACTTGTTCTCTTTTCTCATTGCACTACACTGGTTTCTTTACTGGTGCTACTTTCCCAGCATCCACAAGATGTCACTATTGTTAAAAAAAAGAAACTCCTATAGTGCAATACAAAATACCCTTTCCATCTTCCAAGTGAGAATTTTATTCTCTGTATATCATATTCAACACAGTCCAACAAATTTTTTCTTCCTGTGTAAGGACTAAACATACTCCAACCAACATCACGTGAAACAAGAAGGAGCAAAGTTTTCTTCAAAAGAAGAAACTATTTAAAATAATCAATTGAAACAAACAACAACAAAAGACCTGGCAGATTGTAACAGCAGTAAGATAAGGAGAAACATTTATGGGTCCTGTATTGCAAACAGCCTATGTAGAAGATGCTGACAGTTTAGAATTTTAAAAAATTCAGATGTAAAAATATATGTACACATAATAACAGTGAACACAAGCTAGTAGTCTTCCAGAAGTCTTAAGGAAAGTTTGACTTTATTTATATATTCCTTTTTTAAAGGAAAATCTATTATGTATCCAAGCCGCTTTACCTAGGATACAATAAGAAATGAACAATTGAAATTGTTCAATTGAATTTTTTTCAATTTGAACAATTGTTCAATTGAAAAGAACATAGATTTTGTGAGAACACAATGAAGAATTAAGTGAATTATCAGTCTAACTCCTGCTTGCTGTAGGAAAGAACAGAAAGCTGTTACAGAAGTGCTAGATGAAAAGAAGGTGCTAACCATGAAGGTCACAATACTGCATGGAGTCAATGCACAAACAGAAGGCTGCAAGTCCTGCTGCAAATCCTATTCACAACTTCCTTATAGAGGCTCATCTTTCAGCTTTTTTTTTTTTAAAGCACTACAGTCATGAGAGGTTCTTGAGGACTCAGCAGCACATCTGTGACAGGGCTGTTCCCACTCAATGCCTATATTGCTGTAGCCCACTTCCTGCAGGGGATTTCTGTGGGTGCACTGACTGTCTTTTAATGAACAACATCATTAATTATTTTCAAGAGAAATGCATTAAATCTTATGCTCTCTTTGCTCTAATAGGTGTGACAGTTAATAGCAGTAAAACAGCCATTTCCTTGGACATACAAAAAGAGGCAGCAGTGAAACAAAGTAGAGGCATTAAGGAATGGGAAAACAGCATTGTATCAAAGTAATTTGGGAGTATTTAATACTTAAGAAAATAAAGGCCATTTCAGTGCATAGCAAGCTAAGCCCACTGAGACTTCTAGTAGGAACAGTCAATAATATCATCTAACATAACTAATAACATCTAACATATTATAATAAGCGAATTAAACATTTAAGAGCTTAAATAAATGAACTTCAGTAAGAAACAATTATAGTAGGGCTACACAAAAGCTACTGTGAGTAGAAGTACAATATACTTACAGTGCATCTGTTAGTCCACAGTACTCATCCGCAGGCACAACTGCATAAAGGCAGCTTACCTTCTCAGACTGACAGTGAATATACAGGCAACATTACAGAGCACAAATAAAACACCATGATTTGAAAATAAAAAAAGGTGGGGAGGAAAATCTAATGTATTTTAAAATTGAAAAAGCAAACAATCATGAAATGAAGCTTTGGAAGGTTTTAGCCTTCACAAGTGTTGGATATGCTAACAATTTTACTGCCATTGTTGTTTCAGATCAGTGATGCAAAAATAATGTCCACCACTGGAGAAGTGAGATCTGGTAGTCCTGCATTGTCTTCAAAGAAAAAGTGTCAGGTAAAGTTGTTAGCTTTTTATTTCATTTAAAGTAGAGTTCTAATCCCATATGAAAATTTGCATAAGTTTTTTTGTTGTTTGTGCTCACTCTTTAAGGATGGTAATTTGCATTAAAAACAACAAACTCTTACCTTGCCAGCTGTCATTGCATACACACAGCTTCTCGCCTGTCAAATCACAGTACCCATGGTCTGGACTGCCACAGTTGGCTTTACAGTATGGGATATCACAGGCTTCTCCTTTCCAATACTTGTCACATTCACAGTATACCCGGCTTGGAACAGACAAACTGGTTGTACACTTTCCATGTTCTGAACAGTTATTAGGACAAGAGTTAATTCTGGTAGAAAAAAAAGTAAATTAAGGAAGATGACAAGCTAAGAGTTGATGAGAGAGGTTTTTATCTCACATCATTCCAATAGCATTTATTTGATAAAATGCATTTTTCTGAAAAATTCCTAAGCACTGATAGAGTAGAAGTTTAATCATTTGACAGTCAAGGGTCTTGCAAAACACTCCTTACAGGCTTACATATATTGCCTGTGGTGCAATCAGTATCACAGTCATTTCATACATCATCAAATATTGACATTAAGCAGAAGGACGTGCCTGTTCTCTGGTATTATTCACACTGGAAGCAACTGCAAGCAGTGCCTCACAAAAATATAAATTAAAATTGAGGAAGATCTTGGCATCCCTATCAGATAAGCAGCACTTTTTTAAAAACAGATTCTTAATGGGGCTTCTAAAGTAGATTTGAAGTTCAATGCGGATCCAGGTGGCAATACTTGAGAGAAAAGCTTTTTATACAGCTTGCCTGAACTCTGACACAGCTCACCTCTGCTGCAGCAGGGAGTTTACAGTCCCTGCAGCACTTGCTCTCCTAGAGAATCTCTGTAATGCAATCAACACTCCATCGAGTGCATTTAGAGTTTTCGTGACTGGATTTGTTCCATGTTGTGAAACAAAACATCTAGTATCCAAGGGGAAAATATATATGTGTGTGTGTGTGTGTGTGTTTGTGTATATATACAAAGGCTTGAAATATCTTGACATTATGTAAAGGCAGCAGCCTTAATAGAGCCACCTTTACTATGCCTCTTAAGTCCAGAGTGAGAGAGATGCAAGAATAGCAAAGCTAGGGCTGGAAGAAGTTGGTGACTGCTGTGGGATTTCATATTTCTGTGATACACCCCACCAAACCCTGAGATCACAGGCAACTAGACTCTGCTGAACTATGTAAGCAGGTTCCAGAAATGTAGGCAATTCCTTGGAGATGGAAGGAATAAAGGACATTGATGTATCTGGGTCCAGGAGATTCTGTGAGTAAAATACACATCTCGGGCAGTAAAGTGCCTGAGGAAATCCAAAAAGGCTTTGAAATCTTTGATGACTCACAGGGAAGAGTTAGGTTAAAACTCAAAATAAACTGTTACTACAAATCCCTGACGAGGTTAACACTGACTCCACCCTGTAGATGGGAAAAAAACTAGAAGGGTGGAGCTGGAAGCAGACTGCCTGACTTAAAGAACACAAAGATTAACACAGATTTCTGGAATAACCATTTCTGTTTGCAGCTGGGATGGCACGTCAATCACAAACACTGCACTCCTGACTTGTTCAAATAAAAGAACATGGGTGGTCTATGAAGATGAAGTCAAGAAACTGTCTATTTGGGTATCAAACCAAGGAAGAAGGTAACAGAAGCAAAGTAAAACAGATCAGAATGACAGACAAAAATTAACTCAGCTTCTTTCAGCATCAAACGAGGTACTGTTGACTTGTTAAAAAAAATAAAAATTGTTTCTAATGTTGCAATGAATGTTTTTCAAAGAGTAGAGTTATAAATCACACATAATTCCATTACATATGCAGGGACCTAAGTGGAAAAACTGCCAGTTTTTAAGTAAAAATGGAATAACACATAGTATTCACATTACCTAAGCATAAAGAATGCAGAGGACATGCTCTCATTTCTTAAAACTGACACTTCATATTGCCAGTTGCTCTCAAAACAAGTACATATGTGCAAAAAAAAAAAAAAAAAAAAAAAAAAAAAAAAGCATAGGGGATAAATGAAAAAATTATCTAATTTTAATAGAGATGTCTGCCAGGTGACTGCATTTTACTGATGTCAACAGAAAAACATGGAAAATATCCAGAATTGAAGGCAGCTGACACTTTCAATGCCCCATATTTAAAGGTTTCCCCAATTCTTATTATCTGATAAAAGGGTGGTGAATTACTGAAACAATCTGCCCATAGAAAATTTCAAGACCTGTGTGAAAAGCTATTGTCAGAAATGCAAATTGGAAATTGAAACAAGTGAATAAAACTGAACAAAAAAGATAAGCATTGCCACATTTGAAGTTAGCACTGGCCATCACACTCCAATAATTGGTATTTCAGAATCTGAAGGGATTGAAAGAAATGAAAAGAATATCTGTGATCATAGGAGAACTATCCCATGAGAAACAAGATGGAGCAATCCTCTCTCGAACCAACCATCCAACATAAAAATACACTACATCATGTGCCTATCAGCAGCGGACTCACAAAAGCACAGCACAGTTGTGCCAGATTAGATTTGAAGAGAAACCAGAAGAACAGATAAGAGTTATGGAGGTAGAATCACAGAACTGCAGAGGTTGGAAGGGACCTCCAGAGATCATCGAGTCCAACCCCCCTGAATGATGACAGATAGAAGATAGGAGAAGTAACAAACGTAGAAGAAGAATGATGGCATAAAACCCATTGTGTTTGGCACAAAAATAAAAGAACTTTGGTGAAGGTATCAAAATCCACAAATACACATTCAACAAGGAAAAAAAAAAGCAGGGGATTCTAGTTCCAGAAAAGGGAATTGACACAGCTGATATAATCTCCCTTCTATTCCATACGACAACTTTGTGTATTGGATAAATACTGGAAGGACAATACTTCCTAGTTCCATATGCCATGGGACAAATATACACTGAGTGCCTATGAAGCTGCACAGACAACAGTATAATGCACTATGTAGGGGTTTTTGTTTTCTTCAACTAGCTTCTTAAAGACAATTCCTTACAATCTCCAGCTTCCTTGTGTTAGAAATATACCACAAAGTACAATCCTTACACAATTAACAATATCAGCAGACAAATACTTGCCCTGCAGTTATCATTCTCTTAAAAGGAATGCTAGGCTGACTAACAAAGTAATTATTTTTAAAAAGTACTTACGAGTAAAAAATGTTAAATCCAGTTAGGTTATAAGCTGCATCACTAAAGAAGTGTAGCAATGCATAGCCAGATGTTGTAACTACTTCAGGTACAGTTTCATTTCCACGTACTTCAGGAACTATTAAACCACTGGAGGGGAATAAAAGAATTAAAAAAGAGTAATATTTTCAAAATCAGTCAGGGGAAGGGGAGGGAGTTTGGCATCCAGGTTGTTAATTACATTAACTCAAAGAAATTGATCATCAATCTAACTTGCTGGGTTTTTTTTGTTGTTTGTTTTTTTTTTTCTTTAAAGCTTATCCATGCCTCTGAAAATTAAGGTAGGTTTTCCTAAGAAAAAAAGCTTCCCACACACATTAATGCAAAGTTCCACATCAGATCATTCTGAAGGTGCATGCACGGGAAGCATTAGCTTTAAAACACTTTAATTTTGAAAATAAATCCTTCAGGCAGATGCTTAAGTTTTACTGACTTCCAGCATGAGCTGTATTTCCAGACAACATTTGCACCTTTAGAAGTTTATCTTTTTAAAACAATTCCAAAATTTACAACAAACTAGTTTCCACGTAAAAGCTGATTTCAAGTAAAAATTACTTTTTAGAACCTCATAAGAATGTTCTGTTTTTAATACAGACTGACATAGGAAAGACATGCAACACATCAGTATACTGAGAAATGAGGTCATCTGCATAAAACTGCGCCACACCGAATGTAAGTTAAAAGCTACAGAAATCCCTAATCAGCATTAACAGATCAATAAATTGAGAACAAAAAGCAAAGTTAAGAATACAGGATGAGGGATCTTCTCTTTCCTCCTATTCATGCTACAAGTCAGACTCCTGGGCAACAGGCAGACACATTTAACATCCTGAAGAGGGAAGAGGAAAGCAAGGAAATGCAAGCAATCACATAAACACGCAGAGAGAAGAGGGAAATAAAACGTAGATGGATAAAGTTGGGCAGGAAAGAGAAATGAGCTGAGCTTTGTTCCAGACTTCAGCAGCATAATCAATATTTCATAACACATAACGCGGAATACAATTCTTTATTTCTCTTCACAATGAAATACAGTTTCTGCCACAAATCCCCATGCCGTGAGACAGCAGTTGTATTTCAAAAGATAAAATTTTTACTGATATCAGAGGATTAGGATCCCACACTTTCATTCCAACAGTCCAAGCGTAGAACATTAGTCTTCATTACTCTCATAAAACTCTAATAAACTATAGCCCACTTACCTACAGCATTCTGTCTGAAATGCTTCCCAAAACATTAACAGAAAGGTAGGAATAAACCAACTGAAAAGTTCCAATAAAACCCCAGAATGGAGGAAACATTCACATGATCTGATTTTTTATCTCTTGGATGCAGAAGAAGTGCAGCGTGTGGACTTCATACTTTACCACAGCATTTTATCACTGCTTCAAAAGCAAGGAACTAGTTATTATTTAGTACTAGTTACATTCACTGTTAACTATTGTTGACTTTATATTTGTTTCTAAATCTATGATTCCAGATAAAAAAAAAATATTAATTTGATAAAAGATTTACTGGAGTTGCAATTCTTAGAACGAAAATACTAGAAAAACAAAGACATTTCATCACTTCCATACAGCAAATCTCTATGATTATTGGGAGTAAAAGGATATTAAATTACACTCACCTAAATACTGCTATTAAAGGTGCATATATTGAATCTCCATCATATACATACATATGGTCCCAACTACATTCTGTAGCAAAGTGATTAAATCTTAATCTTAGTATTGCATTAGGGCT